TTAGCCAATGTCATAAAACAACATGTGTACTACTGTTTCATGAGAAACTATTTGTTCTGTAAGCCTTCACCTGAAGTACAATAAAATATATAAAAGAAAAAAGAAATATCCCTCAGTGATATTTTCTGCCCTTTGTTCTTAATCACTACTCATCAAGCAGCCTACTTATAGAGTACTGTGTTCAAGTAAATATTGTCTTAATATATTTGTTGTTATCTATTTTGTTACTCTTGTCTATGAAGTAAGGAACCCTGGTGGTGCAGTGGTTTAAGCACTCAGCTGTTAACTGAAAGGTCGACGGTTCAAACCCATCAGCCACGCCACGGGATAAAGACGTGACAGTTTATTTCCGTAAAGATTACAGCCTTGGAAACCTGTAGGGCTGCTATGAATTCGAATGGACTTGACAGGAATGGGTTAATGGTTTAATCTTTAAGGAAGCAGATTGCCACATCTTTCTCCCATGGAGCAGCTGGCAGGTTCAAATTGCCCATCTTTCTGTTAGCAGCAGAGTGCTTAACCACTGCACTAGCACGGCTCCTTCAGTAAAGATTACAGCCTTGGAAAACCCTATGGGGCAGTTCTATTCTGTCCTGTAAGGTCGCTATGAGTCGGAATCAACCTGACAGCAGTGGGTTTGGTTTGGGTTTTTGGTCTATGAATTAAGTTCAGTTAAGACAGATATTTTTTGCAGTAATGACATTTGCTCATTTAACAAATATTAAGTGACCTCCTGTGTACTCTGAACTATTCTGAATGGCATTGCTCTAAGTGTTTGGGATATAGCAGTTAGTGAAATAGACAAATATCCTTGTACCAAAGCCCTAATAACAACCAGCAAGATATTGGATGCATATTAGGCAGACAGTATGTACTTGTTAATTGAATTTTCATTTACTTTTTCTGTTTATAATACAAATAATTTCTATAATGACATAATTTGGATTTACAGGGTTTTTTTTTTTTTTTTAAACACTGTTTGGCTGAGACCTGAATTCATTTGTCACATAATGTATGATAATGTATGGTTCTTATCACCAAAGTAAGAAAGGTTGCAGCCCTACTCCCTTATGTACTGCTACTACCTTTAGTACAGGTCCTCCTCATACCTGGGCTGTTGTCTTAGTGCCACTAGCCTTTCCTCCTGTATTCTTTACATCGCATCCAGAATGATTTTTCTCAAATACTGATCTGATTATATGGCTTTTCATGGTTTCCTATTGCCTTCAGGTTAAATTCTAAACCAGTTAGTTTTGCCCTTCAGTATCTGGCTTCAGTCTACTTTTTCTGTCTTGACCATACCATGTAAAGCGGTTATCACTGACGGTCCACCAAACTTTTGTTGACTCATGCTTTACCTTCCAGAGTGCCCTTTCCCAGCCTTTTGCTCTTAATTGCCCTCTCTCCTTTTGCTGTGTTCCCATAAAATCCTCTTTCTATCCTCTTATTGCTCTATATTGTAATGGTCTGTTTACTGTCCTGCTAGACTGACTGCTCATTGATGGCAGAGACCATACTCTTTTCTCACTATTGCTAGTGATCCTAATGCCTGGCGAATGTAGTTTGTTTCTCTCAGTGCATTTGTTGAATGCAGTAGACTTAGTGAAAAAGCATTAGGTTAGAAATTAGATAAGTCTGTAAATGGGTAGTTTTGCTATCTTGGTTGTTGGGACCCTGATTTCCTCATTTGTAAATTAAATTGTTTAGAGATGGTGCTTTTAAATGTTCAAAGTGTCAATTCTAAGATTTTTATGAACCAGAGTTCAAATGACAAAGTTTACCGTCTTTTGGAGTATAAATTATTTGAGCATTTAGAAGTCTGTTTCAACATATCTAGCTATCTATCACTAAAACATCTAAACAGTTGAGAAACAAAAAACAGGAAGGTCATTGAGTAATGTCCTCTTTCCTTTTTCTTCCTTCTACTTACTCAAGGAGATGATAATTGAAACCATTTGGGCTGGTCTGAGTCCCAAGTATATATGCAAATATGCCCTCTAATGGTATGCAACGCATTGTTGTTTCAATCTGTTTGTCAGCAGGAGAGCTAGTTTAATGAAACATAACAAAATGTCAACTCCACTGAGGTTGACACACTATTCAAAGTTTGAATTTTAAAATTACACCGTTTGTATTTAAGTTTTGAGAGTTTTATTTTTTGATATTGACAAACAAGATACAGTATTGCTATTTGGTGTATTTTATTTCTTGGAGAATTGTTTAATTTTCCTTGGTAAGCATTTTTTTTTTTAAAGCTACCCAGAAACTTTCTGACAAAAATTGAAATGATAGTTCTTCTAGAAACTAAAGGCAAATAACTTTTTCTTGCTCTTCATGGCCTCAGGTTAATAGATGTGGAGAGGTTGAAACCTAAGTTGCCCCCAGCATTTCACCCCTTTTGGGTGCTTATGAGCTATTTCATAAATAACTTTCCTCATTTCTAGTTATCAAGATAATCAGAGCCTAGGGGCAGTAAATCCAGACAGAAGCCATCTCTTTGGTCAAGTTATTGTTTTGAAGCCTTAATAAAACCATTAAGGCTGCTTGAGTCAATGACCCATATGGTTGTGTGCTTGAGACTTCAGCTCTGATGGACTATAGTAGCTTCACCGCATCTCTGCCCAATTTAAGAGTCTCCTGTTGTGAAATTTATGTTTAAGTTCATAGTTAAATTTGTTTAAGCACTCTCCTTCAATTAAAGGGGAATAATTGAAAAATATTTAGGAAATTTTATTTTCAAATTAAATATTATAAAATTCTGCTTTTGTATAAACTTTGACATACGTAGATGCTAAGTTGGGCAGCGAAGACAGGATATTAGAATTTGTTTTTTAGTTTTAAATTATTGTACCTTTTAATTAATGAAGTTGATGCTTTGTATTTTAATATGTTAATCCCTAACATATACACTGTAATTGTCAAATGTGTAGTAATGTATAAAATTTGACCTATGCTTAGTGTTAATGATGTAATAAAATTGATAATATAATTCTGGAAAATGACTTCCATTTTGAAAATATTTTCCAAAGACTGTTTTTGAAACATATATGAAAAAGAGTAATTGGTGAAATATTTTCCCAAAATTTTAAAATTACGTTTCTAAAAGATTATATAGATTCTTACATTGGGCTAAAAATGACATATTTTCTCTCAGTAATGCGTATATAGTCACCTAGCAGCAGATACATTCCAGAAAAGATTTAGAGCTGTGTTAGAAAGTTGGAAGAATACTTTTATTATATAATAACACAGCATATAGATGAGGGTTTTAGAAAGTATTTTCTGCTTCATTTAAAAAGAGGGACATGGCATAGTGAAGTAAAGGAATGGAGTCTGATTACACTTTTGCATTGAGCATTTTTTAATCGAACAGTAACTACAATACCAAGAATATGCCAGCCATACTATAGTGTTTGTTCTTCTTAGGGTCCTTTGACTCCATATTTGTTCAGTCGCTGAGTTCTACAATAATATCTCTAGAACTCATTTCTCTCTTGGGTACCGGAAATACTACTGTAATTTAAAGCTTCATCATGTCTTGTCTGGATTATTGCAGAAACCTAGTTGATATTTCTAATTCTAGTCAATCCAGTTTGCTTATTTTTTTGTTTGTTTGTTTTTGTCTTCACATACATCCTAGAGAATGGGTCTGTAAGCAATATCTCATTATGCTTAGTGATTTGGAGGAAGGGGAGAGAGTTGGGCCAGATGTTCCCCTTACCCAGTTCATCGTATCTACTACATACACCTTCCAGACCACTCTTTATGAAATACCATTTAATAGCTGTGACATTTATTGGATGTGACTAAGATATGATTTCTGTTCTTAAACAGCTTACACTCTAATAAATTGTTATATCATATGTGTTTGTGAGAGATTGTGCTAAATGCCCTTAAAGATTCTGTGATAATATCACTTATTTTATTCAAGGCTGGGTTGAGATCCACTTTGTCCAAAACACTTTCCCTGACAAAAAAAAAAAAAAAAAAATCTTTTGCATTTAAGTCTGTGATCTCAAATAGACCAACCTTCTGACACACTTGCTAATATTTTTCTTGGCCTTGTTCTAGCTGAAAGAGTTCTTTGTAATGGCGTTCATTGTATGGATATTGCAGAGCTTCTATCACAAACCATAAGAAAATCGATAGTAAATTCAAGTGATAGGAAATGTGAAAGAAAAAAGGTAAAAATGTAACCCTCGATGTTAGAGTACTATTAAAATAGTCTAGACCTTAACCCAATTGGTAGAGTTTAAGGCATTAAAATATTTACAGATAAAACCTTACTTGAAGCAGGCTTGGTATATATTTTAAGAGCCATTTTTCATTTTTTCCCTCTTTTTTTAATTAGGCAGTTGATCTTTTGCTAATTGATTTATAGGAACTATCTCTCTGCATTGTCAAATAAGTAAATTATCTCTGATGTTTAAAAAAAATAATATTGTATTTTCAGTCTCTTTGAGTTACAGGTACTTTTTGTATTTAACTTTGCCTTTTTTGACTTTGTGGAAGCGCTGATGGCTTAGTGGTTAAGGACTACAGCTGCTAACCAGAAGGTCGGCAATTTAAATCTACCAGCCGCTCCTTGGAAACTCTATTGGGGCAGTTTTCTGTCCAGTAGGGTCACTGTGAGTCGGAATCAACTCGACGGCAATAGATTTGGTTTGGTTTTGATTTAACTTTATGTTGTTTTTCTATGCAGAAATTGGATTTTTTTTTTTTAACTTTGTTTTTCAGTCTTTTACGGTTTGTAAGATTGATGTCAGTTTTTAGAAAGGCCTTCTAGTAGCAGTAATAATAACAATGACGTTAACAACATATAGTACTAACATTGATTGACTGCTTACTCTGTACCAGGCACAGTTCCTACCCGCAGCTTGATGAGGTAGGTTGAATTGTTAGCTCCATTTCATAGAAGAGGAAATAGAGGTGCAGAATGGTTAAATAACCTCCTCAGAAGTCATACAGCTAGTAGATGGCAGAGACCAGATGCTAACCCAGGCAGTTTGGGTCCCGAGTCCATTCTCTTAAACCAATATGCTACACTACTCCCTCTTAAGTTTTTATACTTTTTTAGTGTACTTTTTTGTGTGTGGTGGGGGATGGTGGGTATATTAGGTTTGCCGTAGCTGTCCAACTTTACTTTTGAACTGCTTCGATTAGTTGCTTGGAAGACTTTTTGGATAAAATTAATGAATATATGTAGAGATGATATAACATTAGCTTGAATAGATGCTTATTCTAAAGCTTATTCAAACAAGTAAGATCTAATAGCAGAAAAACAATAGCTTACTGGAGCTTTGAATTGTAATTTTTCCTGTTGGATTTTATTAAATGTTCAAATACTATCTACAAACACTTGTAAGTTTTTCCATGATTCTGTAAACCTCAGCAGAGCCCTGGTGGCACAGTGGTTAAGAGCCACAACTGCTAACCAAAAGGTTGGCAGTTTGAATTCACCAGCTGCTCCTTGGAAACCATATGGGGCAGTTCTACTCTGTCCTGTAGGGTCTCTATGAGTCGAATCGACTGGACAGCAACTGGTTTGGTTTGTTTTTTTGTTTTTTGTTTTTTAGGTAAGAGAAGGAGGAACCAGCAAAGGGGACCATGTAAGGACTGATTGATCCTTAAGGTAGAAGTAAAGCAGGGGAGAGTGGTTAGCCATTTGAGATACTGCTAAGATTTAAGATGAGGACAGATAATTTGGCAGCGTGGAATGATCTTGATAATGGTAGGTTTCGCTGTGGAATAGGCTGGAGGAGAAGTCAGATGGAAACTGTGGGATATGAGAAAATAGAAACAGTGAGAACAAGTCTTTCGAAAGGTGGCTATGAATATGAGAAAGGGGCAGGAGGGCTGCAGGAAAAGGGTAAATTGTTAGTTTTTAGAAAGATGAAAGATTTGTAGGTGTTGCAGTGCTGGTGGAAAGGTTTTTAATAGAGAATAGGTTGAATAAGATGTAAGAAAGAGGCTATTTTATGTTGAGATTACTAAAGCTCAAAGAGGATGGGCCCTGAAGCACAGATAGAGGGGTTTGCTTTATATTGTAGCTGTGCTCCATTAGTAGAGGATGCAGAAAAAAGAGGCTTAGTGAGTTTGCGGGTGGCAAGTGAGGGAGTTCCCATTTGATGGTGTTTATTTTTCTGTGAACTGGAAGATGTCATCTCCTGAGTGGAGAGTTGGAAGTTTGGTGGGGGGTTGGAGATGTGAGGAGGAGGGAGAAGATCTGAGTTAGCCATTGTGGAGTGTAGGGGAGGGATAGATGAGCAAAAATTAAGAATTGTTGGACATTGTTGAAGGCCTACTGGAAGTTGGTAGTGACAGCATGAGTCAAATGTTCTTTTCTAGTGACTTTCAGGCTAGTTCTGCCTTTACACTTATTGTAGTTAATGTTGTTTAATTATTCACTACCGTAGAGGAAGAAAGGCCTGGGGATCTACTTAAGAAAATCAACCAATGAAAACCTGTGAATCTGCAACCGATCATGGGAATGGCACAGGATTGAGTGTTCTGTTATGCATGGGGTTGCCATGAGTCGGGGACCATCTCAGTGGCAGCTAACAACACCCGCTACCACCCTAGCATTAAAAAATAGGTATGCTGCTATTAAAACTTGCCAAGCTAGTGTTTTAAGTATATTGAGTAGAGTAGATTGGAGAGAGGTGAAATAATCACTACTTGATACCTTTAACTTATGTAGAACATTTCTTCATTCACATGGATGGTGACCTTCAGGTAACTTTAGAGGATTATGAGACTAAACATATATTTTAAATTTATTTATTTATTTTTATTGTGCTTTAAATGAAAGTTTACAGTTTAAGTTAGTTTCTATACAAAAATTTATACACACGTTGTGTGACCCTAGTTGCTCTCCTTGTGCTGTGACAGCACACTCCTCCTTTCTACCCCAGATTTCCTGTGTCCATTCAACCAGCTCCTGTCCCTTTCTGCCTTCTCACCTCGCCTCCAGACAGGAGGTCCCTTTTAGTCTCATGTATCTACTTGAGCTAAGAAGCACACTCTTCATGAGTCTCGTTTTATGTCTTATAGTCCAAAGACTGAATATTTTAAGTGTAAACTTATGTGATCTTCAGTGACAGAATAACACATATTTTAATGAGAAACTCATTTTTATTTTTTTTAAAATGTGTTTTTCAAAATGTATAGGAAGTTTTCCAGGAGTTACCCCAAATCCAAATTTATTCATTATTAAACTTGTTTATTTGTTTTTACACAGGGTGTGATAGGTATACAGCTGGTCGTTACCATGGTGATGGCCAGTGTCATGCAGAAGATTATACCTCACTACTCTCTTGCTCGATGGCTACTCTGTAACGGCAGGTAAGGCAAGGACAGGCTGGCTAATTGTGACTGGGACTTTCACATCTATTTAGTTGACCAGGTTGATTAACTTCCTAGAAGTTAAGTGCTAATTCCTGTTTCTAAAAGTATGACAAAGGAAAGTTATGGGAAAAATATAATTTTCTTATTTGAGAAATTAGTAGTACACCTCTTTAGCACAAAGGTAATAGAGTCACGGTCAAGAATTCAATTTCTCCCCCTCCCCAGCTTTGTTCTGTCCATGGCCACCAAAAATACTACATATCTTTTTCAATTACCTTTAAGAAAAGTTGGTCAACAAGAGGATGAGTTGTTGGAAAAATGGCTCAAAACATATATTCTATTTCTGGTGACTCGTTTGAGAGTTTAATATTAAAGTTGGAGGTTTCTTGTTCTGCAAAGGATTTTAAACTTTAATTTAGCAAGCAAGTGGAGTTCTTTTGTGGGATTTTAATTTTTTTTTGTTTCTCTTGCACTGCAATTTTACTACAGTCCCCACTCCTGCCACAAAGGAACTAAGTTGTCTTGCTGAAATATGTACAGTAAAATAACAAACTCAGAAGTAAAGAAGTTAAATATAGGTGAGATAGTGAGGCAAAAGCAGAAGTCTGTATACAGAAGTGCATGCCAAACATCTTGTGTAATTATGAAAGATAAAGAATAATGGCTAACACTAATCCTACTAATGATTTCATATACTACAGTAACCTTTAATTCAGGGCTATTCCATCCACAAAGTTTAAATCTCCTTTATGGAATCTATTTTCTATTTTAATTATTTATAGTCTTCTCTTTGCTTATACTTTTTCCACATCAGTGTTAAAGTACAGAAAAATACTACTTTTCCAGGTATTTAAAAAATTTTTAGAACTTGATGAAATGTATACATACACATGCATATGTATATGACTGTGTGAGACAAGAGCTGTTTAAAAATGTATGTTTTATTAGCAAAGTAAACAATAACTAAAGTTTTGGTAAAAGTTATAAGCCTGTCAGATCTACTTATGAGTGAAAACCAATAATCTGTAACTAGTTTTTGATTATAGTTTATAGTAAATTTCAGACATTTGTTTTGTAAGTAGGTTCATTATATCTTGTGCAATCTTGCTTACTTATTTTGTTTAACAATCTTTTTCTGTAGATCATGAAAGGATGAAAATGAGATGGGCAAATTATCATTAATTCTGAATAAATGGGGTCTGATTTAATAAACTAGATATAAAACATTAAGGTATTTTATTTTCCACTGAGAGCTGTACATTTCTAGACTGCATGCTTCTGATCCAATGAGACTTCCAGATCTCTTTTGGCTATAAAGATCTTGGCATTCTTGTCTCATTTTAGTCTGTATGCATTTCCACATTCTTACGTATTCCGCTTTGCATTTGTTTCTATAAAACTTATATTTACCAGTAAAAACTCAAATTTTAGAAATAGAAAGCTTTATTCTCTTCCCTTTGCTAATATTAGAATAATGTATTATATTTAAAATCTTTACTTTTTTTCACAAGATCGTGTCATAAATATATGTATCTACTAATTTGAGGGGAAACTCAGCCTTTAAAAATAATTACAAAGTTAGTTTTCTTTGATCTTCACTTGTTTTTGTAAACAGATTAACTTTAGTATTAGTTAATGCTGTCTTTTATGCCAAATAAGGTTCCAAGTATGCCACCCAAGATTTTCCAGTGTAGTTACTCTTCTGCTATTGTTAGCTTCATTTTCTCCTAGTTTTGTTTTGTTTTTTTAAAGATCATATACCTTTCTTTGATGTTAGTCCAGAAATTTTCAAATTGCTGAGTGGCGTCATCTAAATCAGTCAAGTAAGATAGTTGATTTTATCCTTTGGGGATAATTAATTTTTTACCAACCTTTTCTGAAGTGAAATGATACTGTTTTAATATCAAAAATATCTAAAATCCTTGCTAAATAGCCCCTGCAAAAATATTATTGATTCGAAATGACTGGTTGCATTCTAAAGCACATGATGGAGTTGGGTTAAAGGAAGAGAAGAATATGAGGGCATTCTTTAAGGTCCACAAAATGCTTAAAGGAATTTTTAAGGGAAGAGGCTCCTGAGGACTTGACAGGTTAATCATGAGTGTAGCAGAAGAAACTTGTTCTTAGCTTTTGTATATATCATCTTAGTATTCATTCGTCCCACTGGTATCGTAACATCAAATTGTAAGTAAGCATATTTTTCTTAGAAGTTATGGCTTCTCTTTTTGTATCATGTTAATTAATCTCTGTCCTTATCTCTCATCAAACTCTATCCCTTTTGGGATGGAGGGTTTGAAGTGGCACCTGATCCTACTATGTTGATTTAATGAGTAAGCATGCCATTTTTCTGAAGGAGTCAATACTTGAAGGAATAAGCAATTTTTAAATTAGTAGCCTGTTGATTTTTAATATAACAAAAATTCACTAATTTTCTAGCCCTTGTTAAATAACATATATTGTTTTTATGTCTGCTCTTTCATTTGGATCTGTACACTCTGTGAGCTAGATGTGTTAGGTTAGGTTATGACTTCAAAAAATCTAAATGTTAGATTTAAACATTTCTCACTCTGTTTCACTCAGACAGGAATCAGAGTCAAATGGAGGTCACAGTGAGGTGGGAGTTGAGCAGCTCTTCAGAGAGGTCCTTCATACAGTGGTGATTCAAGGATTCAGCTATCCTTGAAGTAGTGACCTAGTGATACGAGGTTTCTTTCTCCTGCAAGCTTGGAGTCCTCTGTTAGATGCTGTGTCAAGGAAAAAGAGAGTTGGCTATGGATCTTACAGAAGATTCAAAGGATCAGGCTTAGAGTGGATACTCATTTCTGCCCACATTACATAGGCTGGGGCCATGCAACTGGTTCTGGCCAAAGTGCAAGGGAGGCTGGGAAATGTAATTTTCATTGAACCTAGGAGCAAGAGTTAAAGAGGCTTCACTTAGCCAAGAACCAAACAAAACTTAGTCCTAAGGCCATTTACAAGAAACAACAACTTTTGGAAGAATAGAAACTTAGGCAAGTTTTTCTTATCAGCATGAGTTAGCAGTACTAATCAGCATAAATTTGCAGCCCTCATTCAATCAAGATAAGCCAGTTTAACATTCAGTGACCAACTTTCCCAAAACAAAAGGAAAATTAATATGGTTTAATTAAACCATTCAAAGCAAAAGGCAATATACTTACTCAGCTAAGCTTTAAAAGAACTTTGTAAACTCCAGCACCCTTACGGTTTCCAGTTTGGGATGCTCCCTGTTCCCAAACAGTTTCTCACTCAGTAAACCCTGTTAATTGTAATTGACTAGTTGATCATTTTTTTCTTTTCAATAGTAGTGTATGGTTTCTCTTCACTCAACTGTATTCTCATGAATTCTCTATGACCAGATAGCACATTGCTGTCAAGTCGATTCCCACTGATAGGGACCCTACAGGGCAGAGTAGAGCTGCCTGTAGTCTTCCCAAGGCTGTAATCTTTATGGAAACAGACTGCCACATCTTTCTCCTGGGAAGTGGCTGGTGGGTTCGAACCACCAAACTTTCAGTTAACAGCTGAGCGCTTAACCACTGTGCCACCAGATAGCCACCTTTTATTGTAAACTAAATTAAGAGGCACGTCAGCTAAGGATGAAGTAGAGCTTAAGAAATACCTATTTTTCAAACCTCTCCTTTCCATTTGAGATTAACTCATTCCACATTACTAAATAAAAATTGTTTTGTATTCCATTCTTCCAGTTTTTTTTTTTTTTAAATAGAAAGATATTTTCTTCTAGGAAATGTTATTCTCCTTCTTTACATTTCTTTTTATATGACTCAGATTTGCTTGAAGGGATTTGTTCTAACAGTTGTTTGGGTCACCTAAAGATACTAGTAATTTATCATTCAGTACACCACTAATTTGTAGCCAAAGTATTCCCTGCATTCTGTTGTAATTAAAGTTCCTTTTTGTTTTGAAGTTTACTTGGCCCCTCTTTTCATGGAGAGGTAAGTGATAGGTTGCATTCTTTGTACATTTGAATAGTGGGTTTTGCATGAGGAGTAGGATATTGCATTTTCTCCGTAATAGCTTCCTTGCGGAACCTGCCTTTCACTTTCCTGATTGTTCAGCTCAAGCCTCATGCATTTTTCTCAGCCCCTTTATCTCCCTAGATTCCTCACTTTGGTCTGCTACTTCCCTTCATATGTCCCTCATAGAAAATATATTATGGTCAGATTTACTCTGATTTTGTCTCATCCCATATTGGGCAAAGAGAGTGTGACTCATGATATTCTGCTGAAATTTCCGACAAATAGCCTTCTTATTCAATTACTCTCCTTTTTTTTGCTTGTTTACTTCTGCATGTTGCCTGATCCAAGAATCTGCAAGGTCCCTTTGGTGAGAGAAACCTACTATTCAGATGCACAGTAGGTGGGACCTGTGACCTAAGGGAAAGGTTTAAACCTTCAGCTACTACCCTTATGGAATGCCTCAGTCCCTGCTCTCCTTGTCTTAGCTATCTCAACTTTCAGAATGTTCATGATACTCTTTTGAAATTTCCAACAAATAACAGCAGAATATATGGATATAGCAAATGGTTTTGTAGCTGCTTGCACTGAACAGATTTTCTAGGATTTGAAGTAGTGTTTTCTTTTCCTAGCTTTTTTTAAATTACTGAAATTTGGAAAATTTAGAATAGAGAATAACCAAAATCAAAACCAAACCCGTTGCTGTCGAGTCAATTCCAACTCATAGCAACCCTATAGGACAGAGTGGAACTGACCCCATAAGGTTTCCATGGAGCTGACAGAGTAGAACTGCCCCCATAGGGTTTCCATGGAGCTGCTGGTGGATTTGAACTGTTTGCCATTTGGTTAGCAGCCAAACTCTTAACCACTGCACCACCAGGGCTCCGGAATGAAGACTAAAGCTGTCTTTAATGTCCTAGGTGTGTACCTTGGAATAGAGTCTTGCATGACTATGTATTAAGGCTTTTTTTAGCTTACTCTATCAATACTAAACTTTTCTATATTTGTTCATGTTTAGATTTCTACTTTAAATTTCTGAAAATATTTTAAGTGAGTGTGCCTTAAATGGCATTGCTGATTAAATTTTAAAAATAAGGTCTAGGTCAGTATATTCTATATTTTCTGATACATTTCTTTTTGGTGTTATTGAACTCTTTGGTAAGAGTGGTAGTTGTCTGAGATTATTTTATCTAAAAGCTTTATACAAGAAAGCCGTTGAAAAATTATTTTAATACTTTAGTGAAGAACAACTGCAGATTGTCTTTATTATCCAAGACACTGCTGACAATCTGAACATAAGTGAAGAAAGCTACTGAGTAGTTAAGGTAAGTGTCAAAATACACTAAAATTAATGTATTTAACTTAAATGCAAGAGGCTTAGTGTTTTAATCACATTCTGTTAATACTTTTTTTTTTTCCCTTGCCTATATTATAGAAAAAGGTGATAAATTGATTTTAAGGAAAAATAAGAGGTGAACATATATGCCCATCACACACAGAAAATCACCGTGAATTTTGTTGTGTTACCTGTTAATATTTTCTATTCATATTTTCCCCACATGGTTCTGATTATATTGTATGTGCAGTTTTACATCATATTCCTTTTTGCTTAACATATTAACATAAAGCATTTTTCTATTTAAGTTTATTTTTGTGACCTTATTATTAATTGCTACATAAAATCTAAATCTAATAAACTTTTATGTCTGTCTTCCAGGCTGCATTAGAAAGGCATAGTGCGTTGTTGCAAGCATGCAGTCATTTTGCTGAGATAGACATATCAACTAATAGCAAAAGAAAAGATTAAAAAAGCACAGCAGATAGTAACTATTTGGTATGGAATCGAACTCTGTATGAAGCATTGATTGTTGAAGAGTATTGTGCAACTGTACTTCTAGGTTTTGCTTTGAATTCATGATCTCTGACCTCAGATGGTCACTCCATAATGCCTGGCGATTTTTGTATGCTCTTCTTAGACAGCTTTTCAACCCAAATCTTTTCTCCTCAAACTTTCCGCATGTTTGTCACAGCATCACTCTTAAGCTGCTGAAACCAGAGCCCATCACTTTCATCTTCACACCACCAAATCCACAACCCTCATTACACATGCAGCTCTTTTTATTTTTTATGTATTTTAATTTTGGCTATGGAGGCTTGCCCGATTCCTGTGCTCTAGACCCTGTTCCCTCTCCCCTTCACCCAGGCTTTGCTTCTTAGGCCATTCCCTTCTATTTTATCAGTTGCTCCATTTCTGTCTGTTGGATAATTCCTGTTATGACACATACTTTGTTTCAGTATTTCCCGTTGAAAGTAACAACAGCAAGTAAAGAAGATACAACTCTGCCCCCACCTTAAAAAGCAAATCACTTTCCATATCCATTCCTTAGTTGTTGCCCTATTTCTGTGTCCTTTTATAGCCAGATTTGTCACATGAATACAATCATGTAATGACCCTAAGTTATCTCTGAGGTCTGGATGCTAATATGTAGTTGCCCTTTTGACATTTTCACTTGATGTGTCATAGAGACTTCAAACTCAGAATATTTAAATTCTTGACTTCTTTGTGCTGTCCTCCATCTCAGAAAATGCACCACCATTCCTCTCAAGTCAGAAATGTAGACATCATCCTAGTGCTTACCTTTTCTCCCTTCCTCCCTACCTCTGGTCCATCAGTGATACCTTTTGATTCAGTGTCCAAAATATATTTCCCTGCTATTCTTGCCTCCCTGTAATTCACAGAGCAACAAAAGGAATCTTGAAATGTAAAGAGAATTATTTCTCTCCACTCCTTCAAGACCGTTACTTTAGCATAAAATTTAAACTCTGTACAGTGAACCATAAGGCTTTGTATGATCTGTTTTCTGTTTCTCTCTTCAACTTCTCTTTATGTATTTGTCTTTGCATATGATACTATTGCCTTATTGGTTTTTTTAATTACTGGAATATTCTTGCCTCTCCACTTTTGGACATGCTGTCCTCTGCCGGGAATGCCCTTCTCCATTCTTCTCATCCTTTTGGTTGCTGGTTAAATGGCATCTCAGAAAGTTTCCTCACCTAATATCTGAGGCTTTTTTCACTCATTCTCACCACTTGTTTGTTTCTTTCGTGTGTAGTCATAGTTTGTATATATATATTTATTATTGGTTAAATTGGGCCCTCCAACTAGAATATAAATGTCAAGAAGTCAGGGAGGGACTTTGGCTTTTCTGTGATTGTATCTTCATTGCCTATCAGAGTACCTGGAGCATAATGGGCTTTCCATAAATGTTTGTTGAATGAATGAATCATGGATAGATGATGAGTGGATAGATGGGTTGAATAACAGATCAGAACTGAGTGGGCCTAAGAGCATCTTTAGATTCCAGCTTTGGACAATTATTGTTATTAATGAAGATGGCCATGAGTTACCTAGTAAGAGGTATAATAAATGTAACCCCTTTTTTAAAAATGGAATCACAAAGTAAGATTAAACAAGCTTAAATATATTTAAAAAGGAAATGGCTTATAGAAAATTTTAAGAATCTTAAATAGTTCATTATTACAGGGCTCTAAATATAACCTGTGTTTCCTGTACTAACAGTTTTTTTACTGCTTATTTCTCAAAACTAATTTTAGTGTTTATAAATGGGTTATTTCTTAAGCGTTCTTCTAAATGTTATAAGTTAAAATTCTAGACTTAAATCACGATTTGAGGAACTGCCTCCTCACCCATGTTAACTGTAGTGTAGTTTAGGGACTTTTTGGTTGGAATGTGTGTTTTAAAGCCATTAAAGTAAGAGGAAAACTGAATTAATTTTGCTTCATTGGTAATAACGTGGAGAGGGTGCACTGAAGATAAGCCCTGAATATCAAATTTAGGTGGCTGGTAGATAGTGGTGGTGGTTGTTGTTAGGTCACTGTCGAGTCGGTTCCGACTCATAGTGACCCTACTACATACAACAGAAGGACACACTGTGCCGGGTCCTGCACCATCCTCACAATCGTTGTTATGCTTGAACCCATTGTTGCAGCCACTGTGTTAATCCATCTCCTTGAGGGTCTTCCTCTTTTTTGCTGACCCTCTGCTTTACCAAGCACGATGTCCTCCTCCAGGGCCTGGAGATAACATATAACATGTCCAGAGTATGTGAGATGAAGTCATGCCATCCTTGCTTCTAATGAGCATTCGGGCTGTACTTCTTCCAAGATGGATTTGTTTGCTCTTTTGGCGGTCCATGCTATATTCAACATTCTTTGCCAACACCATAATTCAAAGGCATCAATTCTTAGGTCTTTCTTATTCATTCCCCAGCTTTCCCATGCATAGGAGGCTATTGAAAACACCTATGGCTTGGGTCAGGTGCACCTTAGTCCTTAACGTGACATTTTTACTTTTTAACACTTTAAAAAGATCTTTCGCAGCAGGTTTGCCTGATGCAGTGGGTCGTTTGATTTCTTGACTGCTGCTTCCATGGGTAGATAGTGATGCTACTAGGTAACTAGTATCAGTTTCTTTCGAGTTCACTCCGACTCCATGTGTGTCAGTAGAACTGTGCTCGATAGTGTTTTTAATGGCTGATTTTTTGAAATTAGATTGCCAGGCCTTTCTTCCAAGGTGCTTCTGGGTGGACCTGAACTTCCAACCTTTTAGTTAGCTGAGTGCATTAACAATTTGTACCACCTAAGGACTACTGGGTAAGACAGTAAATTCAGAATGATTGGGAAGATGCTTGGGAGCAATACATGATTTGTTTGAATACCTTCAGTTGTTGAAATTCTAACTGACATAGTCAAGAGTAAAGAGATTTGTCCTAATTCTTATGCACATAAAGTTTGAGAATTCTTAAACTGAATTAAAGGAGAAAAGGAAAGACTACCTGTAGGTGTCAGAGCATTCAAACAACTGTTTTTAAGATACAACTATCAATTCCTTCTGAGTAAGTGAAGGATGGGTAGAGAATTTTAACGTACTCCTGCCAGCTTGCCTGCAGAGTTCACTCCCATTTTATTTTAATAATAAACCTATATAATCTTAATATATATTACTACATTGTCAGTTGTAAGAAATATACATACAAACAGCATTGCACACCCTGGCATGTAGTAGTTGCTTAGTAAGTGTTCACTGCATTTGAATCTAAGTCCTTTTAAGGCTTAAACAGTGCTGTGTGTTTCACATACTAGTTTTTCACTTGACGTTCCCCAGCGGTGTCTTCACAAACTGGAAACTCAGTAAATATTTGTAGAGTAAATGAATAGTTCAGGTAATGTTAATTGCTTTATTTAAGAGAATTCTCTTTTTCTTAGCTTGAGGTGGTATCAACATCCTACAGAAGAAGAATTACGAATTCTTGCAGGGAAGCAGCAGAAAGGGAAAAGCAGAAAAGATAGGTAAGTAATATTGTTGAGCATGTGAGGTGTTAAATATTTAATACAATTTATTTTGTGTATTTTGTTCTTTAGTTAAAGGCACATTTGTTAATTGTGCCTTAAGCAGTTGATACACTTGAGATCAAAACCCATGATCTAAAATAATTGAATCATTCTTTAAGAGAATATTTAGTAATCTAAATGTAGAAGCTCAAAACAGTGCTTATTATTTTACTCAAGAATGATTAACTTTATTCTTCTTTGTGTTTAAATTGTGAAAATAAGACAGCCATCGTATTAAGGAAATTTTTAGTGAGAGATTGAATTGGGGAGAGGTTTAGAACTCATGTCTCTACCCTGCAGCTCATTTAAAGATGTTATTTGGTTTGAGGTCTTTTAGGTTTTGCCACTACTTAATATTATGACATTGGACAGATTGACCTGCTTTTGGTGTTATTTTTCTCATCTTTAAAATAAAAAGAGTAGATTGTACAGTAAAACTCGCAAAAGCCAGAATCCGTGTAAGGCGGAAACCTGTCAGAGAAGGAAAATTCAGATATTTTTCGCCAATAGAGAGCAAAGGAAAGTGGTAAGACTGCTGCTCCCTGTCGAAGGCAGAAAACTTGTGAGACCTGATAAAACAAGACAGTCCTGTAGAGTTCCGGCTCTCACAGGTTTCACTGTATAATTTCATAGATCTCATTCAGCTCTTAAATATTTATATCCATGTTTAAAGTTTATGAAGAAAATTGCCTACTAATAAACCTCTGTGAATGGACCACAATAACCTCATCTGTGAAACTGAGGAACTGGCCATAGTCATTTTGAAGGATCTTTCAACTCTAAAATTTTATGTCTGTTTAAATTAATTTCTCAGGAAAATTGCATGATAATTGGGTTCTCTGAATGGGCCTCAGTTTCCTGAGCTGAGGATCCAGCAGGAGTCTGCATCTGAAATCATGATTCTAAAACATTATAATATCAGTGACAACAACTTGTCATTAAATTTCTCATGTATGTCATAAAAATAATATTAACCTGGCCTAATATATTTGTAGGTATTAAAAAATACTCTAAACATTAATGATAATTTAGCTTGAAATTAGAAAATTGAAAAGACTGTCTTTTCTAATTTTACTGCCATCCTCTTTTTTACTTACCATTACAGATACACCTTAAAGCTTGCTGTATTTATTGTAAACTCTCCTACTTTTTATTCCAATAGTTATGTTCTTTAATATTTCTACCTAATAGTTTTTTCAGTTTCTGAGTTTCTTTTTAATTATTCCAGCTCTACTTATCCATGGCTACAATGTTGAACATTTATAAAATATAGTTATGTTCTATAGTATTCATTTTACAAATATTTAGATGCTTACCATAGCGTTGTACTCAATAATTTGTTATTTTTTAATGATAAACTCGTATATGTAGAACATGTTTAACATTTACAAAAAACACGCACTAATGTCACTGTCTTGTTCCTAGTAGCAATAATTATTGTTTGATCTGTTGACATAAAATAATTTTTTTACTGAGCCTTTACCTGTTTATATTTTTTCAAAAATAAATGCAGAATTGTTTTCTAGTATTGTAATTAGTGTTATTGAAACTTAATTTATTGCTTCCTTAATATGTTTGATTGTTTTTTTAAAAATTAAGTTTGGGAATGCTAATGTACACCTGAAGAATTCAGTTGTTTTCCTCGACCTGTGATTCTTAGTAAAAGCTACTCTTGAGTTGCCTTTCATGTTTCCGAGTTTCTCCTGAACATAAATCTTAATATATTTCTTCAACTCTGACTTGTATATAGTTTCAGGTCTGTTTATATGTATGTGTGGGGGTGTGTGTGTATATGTATATGTGTATATATATGTATACATGTATATAAAATTTCAAAGACACGTGCACTTTGTCTTCATTTGCTTTTACTCTTGTGCTTGAAGAAAGTTTCCATAAAGATGTTAGGTTGTCTAAATCTACAGAAGAGAAAGTAAAAGAAACAAGGGTGAAATGCTAAGCTAGCAACCAAAATTTTGTTCTTGTCAAATATTTAGGTAACTCTTTCCTTGGTAGTCTGTATGTTCGTGGAATAATTACATCCACATTTTGTGATCCCTTTTGAGTACCTTACCCTCTTCTTTTTAATGAAATATTAGAAATTTTATGCCTCTTTTTCACTGTGAAATTTAAAATCTCATTTGTAATTAGTTTATACAAACACTTGGGTAACACTCTAGGTAACTTGTTTTTTGTGTCACTTGTCTGATTTTTATAGGAAATATAATGGTCACATTGAAAGTAAGCCATTAACCATTCCAAAGGATATTGACCTTCATCTAGAAACAAAGTCAGTTACAGAAGTGGATACTTTAGGTAAGGGAAATCCGTAAATCTCAGTTTTATATTATGTTAGTAAAAATACTAGGATTTTATCTATTGTGGCTCTTTTTTTGGTTTTTTGTTTGTTTTTCTAATCAAGTACATTATATAGAGTATGAAATCTTTCTAAGAACTTAGGAGCTCAAAATTACTTCGTTTGATATAATTTTTTTTCCTATTCACCTATAGAAACTGGTGGTAAGCATTTCTTTTCCCCCTGTTTTTCAGAAGAGGTTAACTTACACAAGTTTATTATACAGCTTCTGTCTTACTAAATTGAGATCACAGTTTATATTGTCTTGAATTCTAGACTTCTTTTTGCTATGGCACTCTGCTCCTTTTATAATGTGATTTGAAAAAATGTATTTGTATATTTGTATAGAATTGCCTGTATTTATAATAGTTTTATGCTCACATTTGGTGGAAAGGAAAGTGGTTTCAGAATAGTGACCAGGATAAGGAATCAGAAAGCTTTACTTGTTCAAGACTAAATTTTACCTATTGGGTATCTGTGAATACATTATTTAGGTTTTCTTTCCACTTGTCTCTCAGTTTTTATAATTGTATATGACTATATTGATTTTAAGTTTAAAGTGCAAATTTCAATGAAATTATTTGGATCCTAGAAGAGAGAAGAATCTAAGGTAATATTATTTAAAACAGTAGTTTTCAGACCTGGCTGCACATCACAATCGAGTGACTCTTTAAAAATAAAGATTCCGCAATTCTGCCCAATGAGATTTAGTAAATATAGAGTGGGTTCTTGGGATCTTTTTAAAAGTACTCCAAATGATTTTGGATTCTGTCAAGGTTTGAGAACCACTGGTTTACATGATAAATGAGGAAATGAAATAGCGTGTTTTTTTTTTTTTAATTTTTAATTTTGATATTCTAATATAAAGGATCATTATACAATTCGGCCCTTCTTGGGTTAAGTCACACCACCCTCAGAAAAACTTAAGAGATTTACTGCGCATCACATACAGAATTATTTTGTGAAATAGAGGGACTTTAATATATTTGAAACTACGAATATGGAAAGAGTGTCCTACAACCCAAAAATATTAATGAGGAATAATACGAATCACTTGTCTAGTATTATTCAGACTTTTAAGACTGGTTATGTCATCATCTTTTTTTCTTTTCGGCTCTCTTTTATGCAAAATTAAAAACATTTCAAAGTACTTTGACTTTTTGATTAGTAGTTGTGACATTTGTTTTATTGTATGTTATGTGCTTACCTGTACAAAATGTCCGTAGACATATACATACAAGAATATATACATATTCTCCCTGATTTCTAGTACAATTTTTGTCATTTTTATACTAATAGTTAACATTTACTAATTATCAAATCGACTACATCTGTGGAAAGAGATGATGGAAAAGCTCAATATCATCAGTCAGAACAAGGACAAAGGCTGACAGTGGAACAGACCGTCAGTTGCTCGTATGCAAGTTCAAGTCATGGAATGACATCAAGGACATTATACATGAAGAAAGCAAAAGGTCATTAAAAAGAGAGAAAAGAAAGAAAAGACCAAAATGGATGTCAGGAGAGACTTTGAAACTTGCTGTTGAATGTAGAGTAGCTAAAGTAAATGGAAAAAATGATGAAGTAAAAGAGCTTAACAGAAGATTTCCAAGGGTGGCTTGAGAAAACAAAGTAAAGTATTATGATGAAATGTGCAAAGACCTGGAGTTAGAAAACCCAAAGTGAAGAACACGGTCAGCATTTCTCAAGCTGAAAGAACTGAAGAAAAAATTCAAGCCTTGGGTTGCAATTTTGAAGGATTCTATGGGCAAAATTTTGAATGACGCAGGAAGCATCAAAAGCAGATAGAAGGAATACACAGTCAGTCTACCAAAGAGAATTGGCCGACTTTCAGCCATTTCAGGAGGTAGCATATGATCAATAGTTGATGGTATTGAAGGAAGAAATCAGGCTGCACTGAAAGCATTGGCATCAAATAAGGCTCCAGGAATTGATGGAATACCAATTGAGATGTTTCAGCAGACGGATGCAGTGCTGGAAGCACTCACTTATCTATGCCAAGAAATTTGGAAGACAGCTACCTGGACAACTGACTGGAAGAGATCCATATTTGTGTCCATTCCAAAGAAAGGTGATCCAACGAAATGTGGAAATTATCAAACAATATCGTTAATATCACGGGCAAGTAAAATTTTGCCGAAGATAATTCAAAATCAGTTGTAGCAGTACATTGACAGGGAACTGCTAGAAAGTCAAGCCAGATTCAGAAGAGGATGTGGAGCAAGGGATTATCATTGTTGATGTCAGATGAATCTTGGCTGAAAGGAGAGAATACCAGAAAGATGTTTACCTGTGTTTTATTGACTATGCAAAGGCATTCAACTGTGTGGATCATAACAAATTATGGATAACACTGCGGAGAATGGGAATTCCAGAACACTTAATTGTGCTCATGAGGAATCTGTACATAAATTAAGAGGTCGTCGTTCTAACAGAACAAGGGGATACTGTGTAGTTTAAAATCAGGAAAGGTGTGTGTCAGGTTGTATCCTTTCACCATACTTATTCGGTCTGTATGCTGAGCAAATACTGTGAGAAGCTGGACTATATGAAGAAGAACAGGTCATCAGGATTGGCGGAAGACTCATTAACAATCTACAATATGCAGATGACAGAACCTTGCTTGCTGGAAGTGAAGAGGACTTGAAGCACTTACTGAAGAAGATCAAAGAACACAGCCTTCCGTATGGATTACACCTCAACATAAAGAAAACAAGAGTCATCAGTACTGGACCAGTAAGCAACATCATGATAAATGGAGAAAATAATTGAAGTTGTCAAAGATTTTACTTTACTTGAATCCACAGTCAATGCACATGGAAACAGCAGTCAAGAAATCAAATGAAGTATTTATGTTTATATAATTTACTTTTGTTGTAATGTATTATTAGTATCTTGGTAACTATCTCACAAGTTTATCTCAGTTTTTGTTAGCTAATGTATTGTAAGAACCCCTGAAAGAACATAGGAACATTTGAAGATTACTTGACTGTTTGCTTTGAGTGAGTTTCCTGGAACCCTGTGTGAGTGTGGGCAGGCATGGAGAATCGGAATGCTATTTCAGTTTTTAATAAAATTTGAATACCTTTAGAAATGGATATTTGTCTGTTTCATCCATTTTCCTGTCCTCCTTTCAGAAAGCTATTCTAAAACTCAAAGTGAGTGACTTTTTTTCCGTCTCCTTTTTCTGTGTATAGGATTGGTAGGAATCCTGTAATCACTCTAGGATTATCACTTTTAGGCCCGTGTTCAGAAGTTATTAGGTCTGACAGAACAGAAGCACTAAAGCAGTTGAAATAACTTGAAGCAAATGAAAAATTAACCCAATCTAAAAAGGATTTGGGATTTTTAAAATTCTATTGTCTCTCTATGGAAACAATGGAAGTTTTGGTTAATTTGGTTTGATATTTTTAATAGGTCTTACTTTGAGTTGTATTTTATTTTTAAGACACTTTCTATAAATGTGTGATTAAAAAATACTGCATGCTCCAGTATAACTGTATTACATTTTACAACTAAAAAATTTCCAAAGCAGTGTAGATTGTTTTGTTATGTGCCAGTGAGAACATAAGAATTGGTTTACGTACATGTGATTTACTCTCACATTTTTAGGTGGCCTACAAGATGATGTTGACATTTTGGATTATACTCTAGCACAAGTAAATGAGAATAACTATGTCTTCTAAGAAGTGTGAAACAACTGGTGCAAAGGGAGATAGAATTATATTTACTTTCAGAGGATGTTAATTTTAATGTAAATCCTTGGGATGAAACAGTTTGTTGTAGGGGTATGGTTTTATGGAAAATTGACAGGCATTTCGTCAACTCTCCTTGCAGAGCAGAAGAGGAAATAAAGAAGTATTAATTTATTAAGTCTGCAGTAACTCACAAAATTACTAGTCCTCCATTAGCATACTTAAGAATTAGAACATGAAGTTTAACTCTCTTCACAGAAATAAAAGATAAATCCATTGTATTCTAGGCCTAGTTGTATTCTGAAGTTAAGGTATCATATCTTAGATTCTTGGAAGAAAAAAAAGCTTGATTTCAAATTCCCTTAAAAAAATAGCTAATCACTTAAGAAAATACCAACACATTTGTAAGCATATATTTTAACATGAATTTAAATATATTTTGGTAATGTTTTTGGCTTTATTTACATTATGAGGTATTAAAATTTAGTTTTGGATACGATCATTCTCGACCCATTTCCTTCATTTTTAGACTCTGATATTTGCAAGCCTTACGTTGTGGATCAACAAATAGTATTCTGACAGTAGTCTAGCATGTTTAAAGTTTATTGTGGGTAAATCCTCATAAGCTATTTATAAGAGTTTTATTAAAACTTTTTTTTGTTAACTTATTTTTCAGCATTACATTACTTTCCAGAATACCAGTGGCTGGTGGATTTCACAGTGGCTGCTACAGTCGTGTATCTAGTAACTGAAGTATACTACAGTTTTATGAAGCCAACTCAGGAAATGAATATCAGCATAGTTTGGTGCCTGCTTGTTTTGTCTTTTGCAATGTATCCTTGAAAACATCATTAATATTAGTTTATGAATTTGTTTTCCTTATGCAGCTAATGCCATTTGAACTTATCTCTGGTTTAAAAATTAGAGTTATTCTTTGTTGCAATCCTCTTTTTTTAATTGAAAACCTATTTAAAGTATATAGTTTACTGCCTTTCCTTTCTACCCTTGAGTCTCATATCACACAGGCAGCTACTTTTACCTTGTTTAGGTATTTCTTTTGTATTTCCCTCCATTTTTTTGTTTATTTACAAAAGGCCTCAGTAATTTATTTTCTTTTGATACAAAAAAGGCATTAAATAGAAGTATGTTGTTGTTTGCTGTTTAAAGTTACCATATTTTTGTTTTAGAACTATCATGCCTTCATTTTAAGTAATAATTGATAATGTACGAAATGAAGTGTATTCTTTGGTCAGCAATCTGAAAAATGCATAATAGCTTGTCCCCTCCTTGACTCTTTTTTTTTTTTTTTTTTAATTGTGCTTAGGTGAAAGTTACAACACAAATTAGTTTCTCATTCAAAAATTTAGTCACAATTGTTTTATGACATTCCATATTTTTAAATATTATTTGACACTACTATTTCTTTAACTTTAGATGTTATTGGCACCTTTCTCCCCATTCTCTTTCCTTCCATTCTCCTGAAATATTTATCAGGAATTTTTTAAATTATATCAGTAATAGTTTTACCTTTTTATGCTTATAAAAATATTTATTGCTGAGCATTGTAGTATCTTTTTCTTACCTTTCTTTTATTGAACAGTTTTTTTTATTTTTGTTAAATAGAAACTAACCTCCTGCACAGAATCCTGAACCCCAATACACCCACTCCTCACTTATCAACACGGTTATGTTCCAAAGACCAGGTTGTTAAGCAAACTTGGCATTATGCGAAAATGGAGGATGACTACATCATTACATAATTGTCAAATTACCTCTTATATAGCTGCTAAACCACTGAGAATCATTTCCCAGTCAAGTTGACACATAGCCTTAACCATCACAGCCAGTGTTACTCTTACCTTGCACTTCATCGTTCATTATTGCCAGATGTACATTGTTAATGCGCAAAATATAGTAGATTTTTTACTATAGTCGTAAATTTAAAACGTTGGATAGTAAGATAATGAATAAGTGAGGAATATGTGTAGTTCAAACATCATTTGTATTTTGTTTTCCCATGGAAATGTCCTCCTGAAACCCTCAGTTCTCCTTCATAGCTTTTATCCTGGGACTGTCTTCACTCCTAGGAATTCCCTGTAGGTTTTTCTGGATCCCGTGATCTCCTCTTCCTTGGTGTATTCTCCTATAGTGTCCTTAGAAAGGGCGGTAAATTGCTTTTTAAATTTTACGTGCCTGAAAATACCTTTTTTTTTTCCTTATACTTTATAGATAGTTTGTTTCAGTAGAAAATTCTAAGAAAGAAATAATTTTTCCTCTAAAATTTGAAGACTTTTGAGAACTTGGATGCCCTTTTTCTTGCGGTATATGCATGCCTCTCCTTCCTCCCTTACACATACTTTCCAGAAGCTTTCTGTCTATCCTTTTGATATTCTGAAGTTTCACAATAACATGGGCAATTTTTTTTATCGCTATTATGATAAATTATATGGCGACCCTTTAAGTCTGGAAACTTATTACATCTTTCATTATTGAATAATATTTTTCTTTTTCTTATTTTTTATTTATTTATTTTTCAAATTTAAACGTATCTCCTACTCTGTCCTCCATTTCCACCTTTCCAGAGGCAACTTCTTCCAATTTGTTTAGTCATCTGTATGGTATTTACCTCCATGTTTCCATATGCTTATAAGGCCACAGCTTGATTTTAGATTTAGACATTAACTGTTGCCATTTAACAATGGAAATGAGGATTTAGCACATCTTCCTGAGCTTGTCACATACCACTGATCATTCCCACTCATCACTTCTTCCACATATAGTACTGCCATACTTTTTTAGAGCAGTATTCAGTGTTTACATTATGACAGCATAAACACTGTTTACAGATGAATACTTGTCTTAATTTTTCATTTACATTGTACATGTCATTAATCCAACTTCAAACTTTTCTGGTTATAAATCTCTCAATATGTTCAGAATCATTGTTTGATCTTCCTGCCTGATACACAGCTGTGTCCCTGGGATCGTGGAATCACCGTTACCATCTTTTTCAGGATTCTCTTTGTATTTCTGCTTAATTGGAGCTCCTTTTTCTTAAATTCCATGTCTTTTTCCTACTTGACTGACTTCTCATGTTGATGGAGCATATCCTTCAGTATCATCTTTAGAAAGGTTGCATGGAAGGTACATTTTTACAACCTTGTACATCTGAAAATATTTCGATTTTACCCTGAAGTTTAATTCATCTTTGGGCTGAGAATGGAATTCCAGGTTGGAAATTATTTCCTTGATAATTTTGAAGACATTATTTTATTCTAAGTTCTATTCTTACCATTGAGAATTCCAGTTGCCATTCTGATTTCTGATTTTTCATGTGTCCAGTTTTTTTCTCTGGAATCTTTGTTGTTGTGTGCCATCAAATCCATTTTGACTCACAGTGACCCTATAGGACAGAGTAGAACTGCCCCATAAGATTTCCACTGCTGTAATATTTACAGAAGCAGATTGCCACACCTTTTTCCCATGGAGCAGCTGGTGGATTCAAACCATGGACCTTTTGGTTAGCAGCCGAGCACTTAACCACTGTGCCGGTGGGGCTCCTTTGTGGAATCTTTACCATCGTTTATTTAGCCAGCTAGTGTGGTGAAATGTTAACATGATGTGCCTTGTTGAGGGTCTGTTTTAATCCATTGTGCTAGTATATCCCCAATCTAGAAACTCATTCTTGAGTTCTAGAAACTTTTTCTTAATTTCTCTCTTCTCTCTTTCTCAAAGGTTTATTGTTTAGATATTGGATCTTCTAGACTGGTTCTCTGAGACTTGCATCTTCTCTCTCATATATATGTTTATATTTTTACATTTTTTTGCTTTCTAGAATATTTTTCTCAATCTTCCCAATCTGTTGAGTTTTTTGTTTTTAATTTCTGCTTGCTTTATGATCTCTTTTTCCAATTATACTATTTTCTTGATTTTCCCCTTTCTATATTTTAACCCTTTTGCTAACAGTTTTTATGTCAACTGTTATTTTTAATTTTTAATATAGTTTTTCTTTGAATGTTTCATTTTCATAGCATTGTGTCATGGATATGTAATATATTTTTATCTCTAAGGATATTATTTTTTTAAGTTTTAATTTGCTTCTTGCATTGTTTTCTGAGTCCCCCACCCCCTTTAATTGCTGTCATGTTAGAGATTGTTTTCAAACGTGTGATGATCTTTGGAATTTTTGTGTAAGTGGCTAGAAGTTGTTGACTAGTAGACCTTTTTGTAGGTGCTTGTGTAGGGACCTGGCAGTATCTCTGGAGAAACCTCTAAATATCAATGTCTGTAAAGAGCCCTGGTGCTGCAGTGGTTAAGTGCTTGGCTGCTAACTGAAAGGTCAGAGATTCAAACCAGGGCTTCAAACCCAGAATCATTCTGTTTCGAACAACTGCTGAGAATTTGCATCTCCACCCCAAATATTCTGAATCGGAATCTACAGTTTAACAAGCTCCCCAGGTGATTCTTATGGTATAATACATTTTGAGAACACTGCTCTACTGGTTGTTCTCAGAATTGGTCCCTAACCAGCAGCATTAGCATCACCTGGAAGCTTGGTAGAAATGCACACTCCCAGCAGGGGTTAGAACCTAAGGAACCATTTGAAAGCCCTGGTTCAATCCCACCAACTGCTTTGCGGAAAAAAGATGTGGCAGTCTGCTTCCATAAAGATTAAAACAAAAAAAACCAAACTTGTTGCTATCGAGTCGATTCCAACTCATAGTGACCCTATATATAGGACAGAGTAGAACTGTCCCTTAGGGTTTCCAAGGAGCAGCTGGTGGATTCGAACTGCTGACCTTTTGGTTAGCAGCTGAGCTCTTAACCACTGTGCCACCACGGTTCCCCGTAAAGGTTACAGCCTTGGAAACCCTGTGGGGGCAGTTCTGCTCTGTCCTATAGGTTCCCTGTGAGTCTGCATCAACTCAACGGCAGTGAGTTTTTTTGATAGTAGGTTGTTGGGCCCATCATTTTCTCCAGAGAGGAATTGTTCATTCTCCCTTCTGTGGGGTATAAATCTGACAACCAGTGTTCTGTGAGCTTACTGGGGAAGAAGACTCAGAGTCTCAACATTCAGTGTGCAGACATTTATTTAGCACTGCACCCCGCCATTGTCACTCTCAGTTTTGCATGGTACCATTAAGCCCTATCTTCTCTTGTTCAGCTTCTTCAGATAAGAATCTTTCTGGGTTCTGCCAGAGTTGGAGAACAACCATAACCTAATCTGTATGATTACGCAAGACAAGATCTGGGAAGCCTCATTACTGCTAATACAGACTTGCAGCCAACCTTCTTATTTTCACCCTTCATGCAACCCTGCCTTCAGAGGTACTTGGTGTCTCTAATTTCTGACATTTGCAGGGCTTCTGATGAATAAATTGGCTTTCTTGTTTGGTTCCTCCCTTTGGAGACCCCCATAGCAGAGAAAGCTGAAACCTAAATTAGTTATTGCTTGTCCATCTACTTAACTGCCTTCCAAAATTTTGTTCACATCTCTTGTTATTATTTCTTTCTGTGAGGTTTTTTTTTCCTTAACTCTTCTTCATGGATGACTAATTTAGTCAGATTTTGGGAAATAACAGCAAATGCATGTCTTATGTCTTTTATAGTCATCTGGAGACAGCTGAACTGTCTTTTAAAGCTGTAAGCAGATACCAGTTTAAATATATGATATGATTTAAACATTTCATCACCATATTTCAATAGTGCTACCTTTCTGGACTCTTTTGGAGATATTTAGTTGTAATTTAGACCAGATGGGTCAGAACAGCACCTTAAGAGTTAACATCTTCACAAAGTATATATTGTACTAGGTAGAAACACTGATCATGTG